ATATTGAATATTTAATATTTCGGTTTGTCAACCATTCCAATAAAGAATGTTTGGTCCAACTTGCATTTGGAATTTTTTCAACTAAAGTGGAATGGTACGATGCATTGTCCATTATAATCAACGAAGGTTCTTCTAAGTTTGGTAAAAGCTGATGCACAAACCATTTTTCAAAATTATCTGAATTCATCGAATCATGGTAGTCACCAGATTTACTTCCACTTTTGAAAATGAGTTCACAGTTATTAATAAACCCATTTTCAGAACCTGCATGAAGGACAATGTATCGTACACCTTCTCCACTCTTCTTTCGGACTGCATAACTACTGCCATCTTGCCAGCTCTTCCGGAATCCTCCTTTACTAAATATCCACGTCTCATCCAGGAAAACTGGTTTAAAAGGGTATCCATCCATTTCATTCTCTTTGTATGCTTTTAAGAACTGGAGTCTTTTGAATGTAACATGTGCTTGCTCCATTAAATACTTCCTGTTTGAAATATTACAATTCACCCATCTGAATTTTAATACTTTTAAAACTCGCTGAAGTGCAGAAATCGAAATTTTTACCTCATCCACTCCTCGAGCTTTTGTTGTAAAGTATAGAGAGTTACATGCTCACCTAAAACGAACAAAGAAAAATTAATAAGACACTATAGTGATTCTTCTAGAAACAATATTTGGAATGTAAAGTAACATATTAATTGTAACATTTGGAATTTATCTATTTAAATGGTATATGCAACAAACAGTACTCCGTTCATAAATCGTAGTAAGCATATTTAAATAATTCAAAGTGTAAGAGTTATGAAAATAGATCTATATATTTTCCTAAAATGTATGATGTAAATGGACAAACTTCAGCAAAAAGGATTTAAATCTTTATTACAATATTGTAAGTAAGTTTACCCATTTACCACAGAAGTTTGGTACTTATATCAGTAGTATTCTTTTTATTATCACTTTTTACTTCTATATATTTTATATATTATGTAACTAGTTGTCAGTAAGAATTTTTTAAAAGAAATGTATCTGAAAAGTTAGTTGCTCCTGCCTTTCTACATAACAGAAATATGATAAAATATTTTAACTATATTATTATTAATTATATATTATCTGTGGCTTCGAATAAAAGGGCGGATGTCAATTTTTCTGGATTTTAGGTTAATATCATTTCTATAGTAAGGACATGAGATAGTTTCATTTAAAAAAATCAGATGTCCATATCTTTAAGGCTTTTACCTTTTTCAAAACATAAAGGTGTAAATAGATAAAATAAGGATAAGTAGTTTAATTACCATTAATAAACAGAAATACAACAATCATATGGTTCTTCTACAATGGGTGAATGAGAAGCATTAAGTTTCCAGTTTATTTTATATTATTTATAATATTTCTAGCATACAAATTGTTTCAAACATAGTGATATTCCAATATTAACTTAAGTATATTGATGTGTATTGAGTAATAAGCTTATAAACTACAATCAAAGGTGGTTACTATGTGGCCAAATACAAACAATGGCTGATTACTGGAGTTTACATGTTGTGTTTTTATTCCAAGCGACAGATATATATGTATATGTACATAGAGACTTTAACTTACCTTTACTAAACATTCCGTATATACGAGTCCTAATGGTATGTTGGTATTTATTTAAAATCAAGTTGGGTTCACAACTAGTGGCTACTGATTCGCTTACTTTATTGGTATAATCAGAATCTTTTTGTATTCCTTCATTTGCTAATCGCCTTATGGTTGGCAAAGAAATTTCTAACGCCTAAACCTTAAAAACGGTTCAAAGTTAATTCAAGATAAACTAGGTCTTCTAGAATATCAATCTTATAGAATATCAATCTACTAAAACTGAAACCGTTAATGAAACAAATATAAATAAAGAAGGACCTATTGGACAATACAGAAAGTTACGATATGATTTGGTAGGATTTTGATAAATGTGTATAAAAAACTCTTTGCATGTGACAAGTCCAACAGCAGTCGCCATCGCCGAAATCAAAATGTTTTTTGAAGAGCCAAACCTTAAAAGAAAATGGATCCTCTCGTTTGGTGGTGCGAGAGGCAAAGAGTGAATCCCTGGTAATCTAAATTAACCCCAAAAGTATTTATGCGCATGTGCTATGTGACGGCCGGTCAAATAGTAACCGAACGCAGAAATAGATTAAAATCAAAAAATGTAGAAATGTTTCTTATTTTACAGTGTATTAATGATTTATAAAAATTAGCAATTTTTATTTTTTCGATTTGTCGATTATATTTTATTGTGTATTTTTCTTTTGTTTTGTGAAAATAAAAGAATTTTTATTATGTTTAATAAAATCCCAGTTAACCAAGTTTGGACCATTTTTATTAACATTAAGTACCGAAGTCTATTACCATTAACTTTTATATAGTAATCACTAAAGTCATGAATATCGTACTCTAATTAAAGACTAAAAGTACCGAAAGTAACTAGTATAAAGTACTGAGTATTGATATCTACAGTAACAAATTATTACAAATGTTCAAAAGTAACGAAAATTTACATCACTCCTGGGGACGTTAAAAAACGGCCCGTGGCACTTGCAGAGTACCGACAGAAGTGACTACTTCTAAACGCGCTTTAAGACTATACAAGTGTGCGGGTTAATGAAATGTTATGTCTGCTTAAAACTGAAATATTAATATTTTTAATAACACCTTACATTTTCTACTTTAAACATTTTGTAAAAAAATTTTAGTAATTTTCAAAACTTTTTTACTATTATACATAATTTGTTCATGATTTAAATGTTCATCATTAACTTTTAGTTATGTTTAATTACTTCGTTTAGATTATCATTCTTCTTCTTTGTCAACCATTTTCCATCCACTCCTGAATGTAGGTCTCTCCCAATTGCTTCCATCTTTCTCTATCTTGCGCCAATCTAATCCACTGTTTGCCTGCCACTGCTCTTATGTCATCTACCCATCTTTTTGAGGTCTTCCCATGCTTCTTGTTGTCGTCCTTGGTCTCCATTCTAGAATTCTCCGTGTCCACCTGTTGTCATTATATCGGGCTACGTGACCTGCCCAGCGCCATTTCATTTTTGTAATTTCTTCCACAATATCCCTAATCTTCGTTCTACGTCTTATCTCGGTGTTTCTAATCTTGTCTCTTAGTGATATTCCAAGCATGATTCGTTCCATTGCTCTTTGCGTTGTTTCTAATTTTTTGGCAGATTTTTTGGTAAGTGCTACTGTCTCCAAGCCGTAGGTACAAACAGGTAGTATGCATGTGTTATACACCTTTTTCTTTAAGTTTATAGGAATGGAGGTGTTTTTCAAGATATGTGCTAGTTTGCCGAAAGCGCCCCAAGCCAGTTGTGTTCTTCTTTTAATTTCAGCATCTTGATTTGGTTTTCCTAGTTTGATAACATGACCTAGATATACATAATGTTCCACATTTTTTATGGTATGATTTTGTATTGTTATATTTGTCTGGTCTCGGCTCAGTATTTTTGTTTTGCTGTAATTCATTTTTAAGCCTACCGCTCCTGAAACTGCATTTAATTGTTGTAACATATCATTTAGTTCTTGGATATTATCGGCTATTAAAACTATGTCATCTGCGAATCTCAAGTGGTTTAAGTATGATCCGTCGACGTTGATACCCTTATTGTTCCATTCCAGTTTCTTAAAAATATCTTCTAGAGCAAGGGTAAATAGTTTGGGAGAGATGGTGTCTCCTTGTCTTACTCCCCGTTGTAGTCTTATGGGATTAGTTTTTGTGCTTTCGTCCAGCTTTATATGCATGGTGGCATTTTCATATATGTTTTTAATTATGTTAATGTATCTTGAATCTATGCGTGCATTTTCTAGAGATTCAAGCACTGCCCATAATTCGATGGAATCGAATGCTTTATGGAAATCGACGAACGCCATATGAATTGGAACATTATACTCGGTGCATTTTTCTATCAGTGTTCTTACGGTGTGCAAGTGGTCTATGGTATTAAAATGTTTTCTGAATCCAGCCTGCTCGATAGGTTGATAGAAATCGAGCTTATGTGTTAGGCGGTTGGTTATGATTTTAGTTAGTAATTTATACAGATGTGATAGCAAGGATATTGGTCGGTAATTCTCGATGTTTGCTCTGTTTCCTTTCTTGAATAGTAAAATGACGTCGGAGTTGTACCATTCTTGAGGAATCTTTCCTTCATCAATTACTTTATTAAATAAAACATTTAATACCTGTTCCATTTTTCTGCCACCAATTTTCAACATTTCAACTGTAATCTTATCCTCTCCCGGACATTTATTCGTTTTAAGTTGATTTAGGGCCATTCTTATTTCATAGTCGGTTATGTCCGGTATTTCTTCTGAGCCGGTGTTAATTATTGTTCGTTGAGTACGTCGTTGTTGTGGTTGTGTATTTACCGAGTATAGTTTAGTGTAGAATTTTTCAATGGCCTCGCTTATTTCCTTTCTGTCTCTGACGGTGACGTTTTTCTCATTTTTTATTTCTATGATTTTTGTTGTGCCGCTTGAGTTTTTTGCTTTGAGTACTTTCATGTTGCAGTTATCTTGTATTATATTTTTTATTAGATTGTTATTATAGTTTCTATGATCGTTCCTGATTTCTTTCTTCACATTTTTGTTTAAACTTTTAAAGCTCTCCGAAGTTCGATCTGTTCTGTTTCGTCTTTCTTGGAGTAGTTTAATTGTATTAGGTTGGAGTTTAGATGTTTTGGCCGTTTTCGTGTTTGAGCATATTTTCTTAACCGATGTTGTTACAGTTACTTTTAGATTACCATTACATTATAAAAATAAAACTACTCGTTTTATTTTTATACATGAAATAGAACTAATAATGAGTAATATTCCTATCAAAACACTTAATGTAGAGGTGTACCAAAATACTTTATTCGCATTCACAAATGTTTCTTTTTTCAATGTTAACCCTCTATAACCCTAGTGGTTCGGACAACATTAAATGTAAAAAAATAATCCTTTGTTTTAATTTTAGAAAAGAGTTTTCCTGGAGAAAAAACGAGACATTGTACCAGAGCAACTGCAAGCGTTGGAAGAAGCCTATGAAATTGTTGAAAAATTTTTAGGTTCGAATAAGTATGTAGCTGGTAATGAACTGACAATAGCAGATTTTAGCTTTTGGACTACAATTACAAACTGGAATGCGGTTGGATTGTGTACCGAAGACAAATATCCAAAAATAACCGCTTGGTTAAAGAGAATGTCTGAATTACCTTACTCCAAATTTAATAAGGATGCAGAAGATGCATTCAAGGCAACTTGGAACGAACTCATGGCAAAAAAATAATAAATAATGTACATTACGTTGCATGTATTTTTAAAATTCATTACTACAATTATTTATTCAAATAGGTAAAGAAATAATAAATAAGACTTATCTGATAATTAAATTAAATTGATTGTAAGTCTTACAACACATTGATGATTTGAATTATTTATTCATTAATAATGTAGTTTTGCTTAAAACATGTATATATGGTTTAATAATTTATATATATATATATATATATATATATATATATATGTATATTATATATATATATATATATATATATATATATATAAATGTATGTAAATCATAATGAATCTGGATCAAAATTTTGTTATCTTGGAAAATAAAGGATCAGGATATTGTACAAAAAATATATGTACTTTTATTATAAAAGCTACCCTTAAGTGAAAATAAATTTGTTTAATAACTATATTAGGAAAACTACTACTACTAATGTTACTTATGCTATTTCTTGTTAAATACGTTTTATTAAAAATAAAATATTACATTAAGAAGTGGAGATTGGCATTATTAATTACAAATTATTATCTCAGAACTATATTGGCAGCAAACGGCAACAATTGAAATAGGGCACACAACATCCGAAGATATACGAATTCGACGAGGAGTGTGACAAGGTTGCGTCTTATCACCGCTATTATTTAGTCTGTGCTTGGAATCTATATTTAGAAAAGCATTAGACAAAGTGCAAAGTGGAAGCAATACAAAAGAACTACAAAATATAATAAATGTGGTAGTTCGTCATAGCGAAATGTTCGGTTTACATCTAAATGTTTCCAGAACTAAAACTACAGTATTTTTAAAAATACCAACAAACGTACATTTGTATGCCAAGGGACAAATAATGGAACAGGTAACTATCATAAAATATTTGGGAGCAAAAATCAATAGCCAGTGTAAGCAAAAAAAAAGAAATCCTATCAAGAAAGGAACAAGCAAAGAAAACAACACATGTACATGAACACATTTTTTTCAAGATCAAGACCTTAGTCTAGAGCTCAGAATTCGAATGACCAGATGTTACGTTTTATCTGTTTTGTTGTATGTCTGTGAAACTTTTTCTGGGTAAAGATACATACCTCAAGATAAAGTTTTCTACCAATGATATGGCTACTATTTACAAATCCTTCTAAGTATAGTACTACTAGGATGTATACCATTTAGATGGGTTTAACGAAGAATGTTCGAAGGTTCAGAATGACGAATGTATCCTCAACATATTGTAGCCAAAATGTGGATTTAAGCATTGATGTGAATAGTGCTCGGGTCTCGAAGTCTTGCATAAAGATATTGGCAATTACTGGAGATAGAGATTTAACCCGAAAGATTGTTAATTTTAATATTAATTCCTGTAATAGTATTAATCTTAGCTACAGAAGTAATTGTACTAACCGCGAAAACCTTTCCGAACATTTTATTCGCCTATACAGGAGGAACTTTACTGTCAGAAATGTTCGCGCCAACCCCCGCGCCAATTCCCATGCCAAAAACCACGCTAACTCCGGCGCCAACCTTTGACCAAACCACTTCACCATCGACGGTATAAATAAACCGTCCTCTATTCTTAGTACCAGTAATTAATGATAAGTGTAAAAGGTTTGGGGGCTTGAGACCAGAAGACCCTCTAAGATCTTGGAAGCCCTGTACAAGACATCGAAGAGGATATCGAAAGCTCGGCGCAGTGATAACTGACACGGTTTAACCCGGAAGACTGTTAGGTTTGTTGAGTTGATAAGACTACTAGATCTATAAATGTTATGTCAAATGTTTGTGTGGTGGTTAATGTGATAACGTGAGCTTGTTTACTCATGATTAATTACTTATGACGTTGGTAAGGGCAAAAAGTAACCCGTTCCAAAAATAATGTATCCTAATGTTTTTGTACATTAAATTTATTTCTGCATGCTCTTTTGTCAGTAACATCTACTAATGATTAATTATAATTCTTCTTAACTTTTAACCTGCTATGTTCTGTTTTTCTTGTACCGTATATATTTTTACATTTTTTATTATAACTTTTTTTATTATAACTTTATTATTTTTTATTATTAATAGTTACTGTCTATTACTATTTACTAAGATAACTAACGAGGCTCTGACGTCCGAGTGTTTGTCGGGATAAGCAATCAACTATTTACTGGCCAACGGCTTAGGGCAAATGATCTAGTAAGTGGAAGGACACTCTGTTGTCCTGAGACTGAGAAATTGGTCTCGAAGGCAGAAGAACCAAGAAAGTGGTCAACGGCATCAGAATGCTGAAGGTAACGAGAAACCACTGCATTAAAGGTCCCTGATGAGATCTCTAGTATAAATAATGGCTAGCACTATTTGCGCAAGAAACATTATTGATTACGGTAATCGGAGACCAAAATCCGGCAGGGGGGGGGGACAACCATCATAACGCAATTCCACCTCGGTCGTCAATATGCGAAACCCTTGCACAAAATACCACAAAAAAACATTTTACCCTCTCTGATAAAAATAGCTACCTAGAATGTAAGAAGTATGTATCAGCCTGGAAAACTACACAATGTTATTAAAGAGAAGGAGAGGCTAAATATAGATATACTTAGGGTTAGCGATGTACAATGGTCAGAAAATGGAGAGATATCAATAAATAACCGCAATATTTATTACACTGGAGGAGACAAAACTGATCATCGACACGGAGTAGCTTTCATCATAAGCAACACTATTAGAAAATCAGTACTAGGTGTGATTCAAATCTCAAAAAGAATAATAATGATAAAAGTTCAAGCACGGAACTGTAATATTAATATGATACAAGTCTATGCTTCCACTGCTGATAAGATTGAAGATGAGATCGAAAAGTTTTATTTAGAATTGCACAATACAATCAAGTTAACAAAATCTAGAGATATTACTTACATTTTAGGAGATTTTAATGCAAAAATTGGAGTAGGTACAGTTGAAAATATAGTTGGACAGTTCGGACTAGGAACTAGAAACTAGAGAGGAGAAAGGCCCGTAGAATTCTGCCAAGAAAAGAATATGATAATTGACAATACTTGGTTTCAGCTTCTTAAAAGAAGACTATATACATGGGCGACTCCTTTACATACAGAAAACTACACTGTCAGAAAGCAGATATACTTTATACTCGTAAATAGCAGATATACAAACTCTATAACCTCAGTTAAAACTTATCCTGGAGCAGATGTTAACTCAGACCACAATCCGTTAGTGGCTGTCGTGAAAATAAAATTAAAAAGAATTGAACTCAAACAACAACAACCAAAAATTAACGTAAGAATGCTATAAAACGAAGAAATAAAAAACGAATTAAAAAATAATGTGAATGTTAATATGCAAAAAACACTAACTGACAACAAACAAATTATGGATGTAAATAAAAAGTGGTATAATATAAAAAACACATTACTGAAACTAGCTTAAGAAAGTTTAATACAACATAGGTCAGAGGCTAAAAACACTGGATGACAAAAGAAATACTATTACTGATGGAAGAAATAAAGAAATAAAAAGGAAAAGATCTACAGAAGTATAAAGAAATACAACTGATAATTAAGGAAAAAATCAAAACAGCTAGGGAAATCTATTTGGTGAAGCAATGTAAAGAGATAGAAGAACTAGAAACAAAATATAATATGAGAACTATGCACAAAAAAAAAGAGAAGTGACTGGAATGGGTTGAAATAGACAGCAAGGACACACAAAAGACAAAAAAGGAGTAGTACTAATAGATTTACCAGAGAATTTAACGATGGGAGGAGTACGTTAGAGAACTTTTCCAAGATGAAAGAAGTGAAATGCAGAAAATACCAGAATTAAATCCTTTAGAGAGACAAAGATCACGATAGATGAAATCAAATATGCTATCAAAAACTCTAAAGATAATAAGGCAGCTGGATTAGATAGAATACCAGTAGAACTGTTAAAACTAGTGGAAGAGGATAACTTGGAAGTATTGCCAGATTTATTCAACACGGTATACGATACGGGAATAATAACACAAGACTGGCTGAATTCAGCATTTATAACCATCCCTAAAAAACAAGTAGCAAAAGAGTGCTCTGATTATCGAACACTGAGTTTCATGAGTCATACTTTAAAAGTTCTGCTAAAAATAATACATAAGGGAATATACTAAAGGCTAGAGAAGAATATTAGCGAGACGCAGTTTGGGTTCAGAAATGGAATGGGTACTCGAGAAGAACTATTTGCTATCAGCATATTGATTAAGCGATGTCGGGATGTAAATGTTGATGTACACTTGTGCTTCGTCGACTACGAAAAAGCTTTCGATAAAGTAAGACATGAAAAACTAATATCAATACTTATGAACAAGCGCATTGACAGTAAAATCATAAATATAGTTCAAACATTATATTGGAACCTTAGTGCCATAGTTCAAATTGATGGGCAACACTCAAAAGAAATGAGGATCTGTAGAGGAGATAGACAGGGATGTGTTTTATCACCACTTTTGTTAAACTGATATTTTGAAGAAATTTTCCAAAACACCCTCAATAATATCGATGCGAGAGTCAACTTAAACGGAAAATTAATAAACAACTTAAGAGATGCAGACCACATTGTGATCATAGCAACGAGTATAGAGGATCTACAACATCTTATCGAAATCTTGAGTATGAATAGTGCTGAGATGGGAATTACTATAAACGCTAAAAAAAAAACGAAGTACATGCTAATGACAAAAGACCACAAAATATACATCACCCATTGACAATCAATGGCAACGTGATAGAACAAGTAGAAAAATATCAGTATTTGGGAACTATGATCAATGAAACTAATGATAATATTGTAGAAATAAACAGGTGAATAGAGATTGACAGATCAGCATTTATACGAATGAAACCACTCCTAACGTGCAAAAATCTCAATTTGGAGATCAGACTACGTACCATTTACTGTTATATATTTTCAATATTATTATATAAAGCTGAGACTTGGACGTTAAAAAAAGGTAATTTAAAAAGAATCGAGGCCTTCAATTTCTGGTTATACCGCAGAGTATTGAAAATATCATGGACTGATAGAATTACAAATAAAGAAGTACTGGTAAGAGTTGG